GACCCCCCCGGAGCAGGGCCGTGCCCGCGGCGAGGGGGTCGCAGCCGGCCCTACCTTCCTTGATGGGCCGGGCGGGGTCGGCTGGGCCGTGGCTGCGGGGTGGCAGGGTGGGCACCGCGGCCCCCGGCGGCTCCTGAAACAGCCCGGGTCAGGTGGGGATCCGGGTGGGAGCCACATCCCACGCCCCAGACGTGCCCTGTGCAGGACTCGGGGTGCATCTGCACCCCATTTTCGCCAGCATCCACAGCCCCTCCCTACCTGCCTGCCCGGGGGCTCTGCCAGGCTCCCCTCCCTGCAGGGACAGTGGGACTCGATGCCAAACTTGACCCTGACCTCGTGCAGGAGCTTCCAGAGGCGCGTCAGGACTGGGGACAGATGGGGACAGGGCTGTCAACCCTCCAGCAGTGCCCAAAGGGGGGTTCTGGGGCTGGGGGACACACTCACCACAGGTGGGGACAAACTGCGTGGGGACCAGGGAAGACGCGTGGTGGTCCCGCCCGGGGGTGCACTCGGGTGGCATCACCGGACCCCCTGTGTCAGAGAGAGGCTGCATTTGTCCCCTCTGAGGCCCCATGGCTGACACCCCCTTTTCCACCCCTCCCTGTCCCCGTACCAGGGCCACCGTCCTCCCTCCTGCTGCGGTGGCAGTCGGGGCACAGCTGGAAGCCACATCTGGCGCAGCTCCAGTGGGAGTTGAAGAAGCCACGCTGGCAGGCGTCACAGAGCCGGGGGGCTCCTTCCCCCCGCCTCCAGCCCGTCACCCCTGCGGGAAACACAGCCTCAGCCTCCGCGTGTCCCCGGTGTCCCCAGTGTCACCCCCAGCCTGGTCCCTGCTTACCCTCGGGCCCGCCGGGGGCTCCCGGCCACGTGTCCCTGTCCCTGCGCACGGCGTCGCAGAAAGGGTCCCCCAGGACCTGCAGCAGGTACTTGGCCAGGCAGAGGCTGCTCCCCACGTTCCTGCTCCCCACGTTCCTGCTCCCCACGTTCCTGCTCCCCACGTTCCTGCTCCCCATGTCCAGCTCCCCCTCGGCCTCCCCCAGGGTGCAGATGCCATCGACGCTCAGCTCCCCGTTGTCACCCAGGGCGAACCTGCGGGGAGAGGGGGCAGAGTTGGGGGCGTGGGAGGGTGCTCCAAATGGGGTGAAAAAATTGGGGTGGTGGGAGAGGATGCTGGAAAGCGGCAGGACAAGGAAAGGATGCTAAAATGTGGGGTGAGGGGAGGGGGTTCTCTGAAGCGGGGTGACAAGAGAGGGTGTTCTGAAGTGGGGGGACAGAGACTGGATGTCCCAAAGAGGGGTGACAGGAAGGGATGCTCCAAAGTGGGGTGAAGGGAGGAGCGACAGGAAGGAAATCCTCTGAAATGGGGTGACAGAAGGGGACGTTCCAAAGGGATATTCCAAAGGGGATGCTCCATTGCCCCCTGACATGTCCTGCTGGACTCCCCCACCCTGTGAGCTCACCCTGGGCTCACCTGCGGAAGTGCATCAGCCTGCAGGTGTTCTCGGGGGGCTCCTCCTCATCCTCCTCGCCCTCGGGGTCCCCCCCGGCGCGGGGGGCACAGGCACAGCAGCGGGGGATGCTCGGGGGCAGCGCGGTGCAGGGCAGGCCCTGCAGGCACCACGGCTCTCCCGCGCGCCTCGGCGGCTCTGGGGACACGGGAGGTGCTTGGGGACACTGTGGAGCCCCATCCACGCCAGCTGGGAGGGACTGGAAGTGTCCAAGGCCAGGTTGGACGGGGCTCAGAGCAATCTGGGATGGTGGAAGGTGTCCCTGTCCATGGCAACCGTGGGACCGGATGGGTTTTTTTAAGGTCCCTTCCAACCCAAACCATTCCAGGGATTTCTGGGATCCTGTGACTGGCACGCTGTGGCGGGGGCTGGAAACTGGGCCAGAAAGTAGGGCTGGAAAGTAGGGCTGGAGCTCGGCAGAGGTCAGGGCTGGGATGCCAACACCTCCCCGAGGAGTCATTGACCCAGCCACAGTGCTTCCAACCCCCAGGAATCCCACCCGTGGCTGCCCCAAAAGGACATTTCGATCCTTGCCCACCCTGGGAATCGCTGCCAGACCCCGTCAAGCCAGGAAAAAACCCCAGCACAGCAGGTTCCGCAGCCCACACGTGTTCCCGGCTCGTGTTGTGGGCGCCGGGAACCGGGATGCAAAATTCCCTGGGGATCGGGTGCTGCCCCCGCCCTCTCCCCGGTCCCGCTGCGCATCCTGTGCATCCTCACCTCCGTCTCCCAGCTCCATCCTCCTCTCCTCGGTGTGCCCCGCGCTCTCCGTGCCATCACCCGGGCCCGCGGTGGCCTTGATGCCCCTCTTGGCTGCCCCGGCGCCCTCGCAGGGACCATCGGCGGTGCCGTGGGGGCGCTTGGCCGAGCGCTTGCCCTCCCCGGGGGGCTCGGGACCCCCATCCCGCCGGGAAGCTTTGGAGCGAGGCAGAGACTGCTCCGAGTGCCGCGTCAGCCACGTCTTCTTCAGCTTGGTGTGGTTGCTGGGGGGGCACGGAAAACGCCCCCCGGCCATGCCCAGGGTGGGCTCGAAGGGGCTGGGCACCCCGCAGCCCACCCCCGGACACCCATCGCAGCCCGGGGTGGGGCACAGACAGCCCGGGGGAGGCTCCGGCTTGGCCAGAGCCGCTGGGTAGTGCCCGTCCGCCAGCAGAGGCGAGGGGTTGGGCTCCCCGCATGCCGGGGGCGAGCCGGGCTGGGCGCTTTGATAGCCCAGGCGCTCATCTATGGGCT